ATGACTTCGCACATGCCCGAAACATTTTCTGAAAGACCTTGTCCCTATGTTCTTTTCTCCAATTAGCATAAATGTGTCTTGCACACATCCTATGCTCTGCTTGGGGCACAAGCTCATTGACTGTCCTGATGAGACCCTACATAAGGAAAGAAGAAAAATGACATAAACAAATAATTTCAAATCCATAAGGACAATAAGAGAGTAAGAGAATTAATTTTGTACCATATGAGTAAAAAATATTTAGCTTACTTTCTGTTGATCAGAGATGAAAACCCATCCTTCAACATTGTTGTTTATCTGGAGATCTTTTTGAAGAAACCGAATGAACCAATACCAGGACTCATAGCTTTCAACCTCTACTATAGCCAAGCTATTCGATACATCCATCTCTGCCAATTGCACAAAGCAACTGCCCCTTGAAAGCACCCTTCAAAAAACATCCATCTAGCCCCACCACTCTTCTACATCCTGCAAGAAATCCTTTCTTGCAACCATCTAAACACATATACATTCTTTCAAACACATTGCTATGAAGAATTTCTGGATTTAATGTCAGTGCAATAGTGCTACCGGGGTTGCTTCTAAGCAACTCAAGCTGATAATCATAAACCCGAGCATATTCACCATCAGATAGATTAATTATCTTCTCCATAACTAGTTTCTTTGCTCTTTTGCATTTGGAGATGGACACATCAGCCACTAGATCCCGAAGAACAGCTTGTTGAATGTGCTCTGCCTTCCATGATGGACTGTCCCTGATTTGCTTGAAGTACTTCTTTGCTATGACACCGCATGTGACCAGCTTGTTGTCCCTTCTTGGAATGCATGTGTGCTCACTGTTGTACCTCCACACTAGAAACCAATCAGATCTGCTGGTAATGGACCCATAAATACTCCAAGGATAGCCAGGCCAGCTGCATTTTGCGCTTACTCTCTTCTTCTCGTCTTTTGGAAATAACAAGTGGTGATATGTTTTCAGTCCATACTTGACCAATGCATTCTTGAACTCCCTACTGTCACGGAAGGCCATACCAACAGAGAATAAAGGAATTTCAGAAGTGCTATCATAAACTTTGTGCTCTGTCTTCTTCCTCTTAGGCATGTCATCCCCGTCACTTGCTTCATCATAAGATAAATCATCTGTACTGTCAAAATAGGGCGTCACATCACCATCACCATCATGAAGCTTGCAATCCTCCGGGACAAGGAAATCCTCTGGCACATCAACTGCTTTCTCATCCTCTTCACCAAGCATTTTAGAGTCGGAAATGATCGCATGGCAAAAGAACATCTAAGGGACTGAGTTGTCTTGGAAATCTAGATTTGTATATTGGATCTTTCCTGTATCTAGTTGTCTTGATCATCTTAGATCGTGCCTTTTGTGTTTTGATCTGCTTCTCTTAACAGTATACGTGCCTGTGAATTAATTTATATGGTTCCTGGGTAATGAGGAGATGGGAAGCAGAAATTAATGTTCCTCTCGCTATCCAGTGCAGAATTTCTTGTGTTGCGATTGGACGTCGAGGAGCTACACTTCTCTTTCTGCTTTTAAATTTGCTGGTCCGGTTACTATTTCCAGTTTGATCTTTGATAACATTGTGTTAATCTGATCTCTTTGCTTCACATTCTTTCTTTGCGCACAATATTGAACCCACATTGAGGCTTGATTTTGAATTCGTTCTTGCATTATCAATAAGAAAGCCTCAGCTTGAATATTGAAGCATGATGTGGGTGACTTGTTAATATTGTGGTTGAGCAATTCTGAGCCTTGTCATTGCTGCATCTTCTGTCCCACAGGCTAGAATCTTGGCCCCGCGTCATACTTCTTGAAGAATGGCGGCCACTTCGTCATTTCCATCAAGGTACTGTCAGTTTCATGTCATGCCCAAGAAACACTTGCCTTGTAACTTTTAGAAGTTGCCATTTGAGCTGACATTGCTCTTTGCTTTGAATCAGGCCAACTGTATCGACTCGACCCAGGCTGCCGAGGCCGTGTTTGCCAGTGAAGTGGAGAAGCTGAAGGCCGACCAGTTCAAGCCCTCGGAGCAGGTGACCCTGGAGCCCTTTGAGCGCGACCACGCCTGCGTCGTCGGTGGTTCCAGGATGCCCAAGAAGCAAAAGTGAAGTTGAGAAGAAGAAAAGACGTGGCTGTGTTGTTTCTGCCATCTGCTTGCTCAGATGCACTAGTAGCAGTAGTAGCAGTAGTAATGTGTGACCCAAGTGTAAGGGGTTTTGTGGAAACTCTCTGAGACAATTCCTGCTGTTTTACAGCAATTATGTTAAACTTGATTTGAGCAGAAAATGTTACTCCATCTGAAATGAGTGAAGACACTAAAAATGTTAAAACATCTCTTACTGTTGAGCAAGAGACTCAAGAGATGTTCCAACAATGAAACTGAACTGAAAGGAAGACGATTCTCCACGTATTACTGGGCATCAAAATACAAATTTAGAGTCGTCTCGCTAACAATACTTTTTCATGTCTTTTCAGATTTCTGTAAAGAGAAATATCCATTTCAGCATGCTACTCAGAGTTTTACATGGTGATCCAGCCAAACCAAGCTAGTACACCGTCCAGCAAGAATGAAACAAAGGAAAAGGAAAAGAACATCTCACCTATCAAACTCAAAGCAAGTCTACAGGTAGCCGCTTGTGGCCTGTAAGAGAATTGTTCTGAACATCGTTATATCTCTGACGCAAACTTGATTTGTGCAGGAAATGCTCATCTTTTGCGCAGTTATCTGTTTGGCCATCATGGGGTTACATGGTAATCTGTTTGAACATCATGCACGCCGCCGCAACCCCTCTAGGACTACCAAGCCTCCGTCGCGGCCCTCCTCGACGACGACGATCTCAAGCGCCTCATCGTCCACTTTCCCCGCAGGTTCGCTTTCTATTTCGTGGAATATTCAGATGAATTCAGACTCGTCGCTAGATTACTAAGGCGAAAATTGCTATGATGTGTGCCTCACCAGTGGACGTGCTCGCCTGCCGTGCCGTGCTCGGCTCAGTTGATTGTCCAAATCATTCGGCCATAACTCGACTTGACTAGAAGAAAGGTATGCATGCAGTGCAAGACCATGATGTCGACCGCGAACTTCTCTCTGCTATTATACTACAAAATTAACACGTGTTAATTAATCCTAACACTCTCCACATTATCTGCACTACTCCTTTGCTTGTTCAATTGCTTTACACGTGTTAACTTCTTATTTGAGTCCCCGCAAAAAGAAAACTTCAGTATTAGACAAGTATGCATACAACATGACAAAGACCAAGACCTGGACTAGCTTTGCTTGTGGACCATACAATGGGAGTGGTTGGTAAAATTCTGATGAGTTTTTTGAAATACTGCCCTTTTGATTCGTTTTGCTGATTGCTGAGTACTGACAACTACTGAGAGCTACGAGTCTTTGTATTTATGCATCTAAATTTGTGTATTTCAGGTAGACGGAGGGGTTGCCAACACTAAAATAACTCTCTAGATCTTAATGCTAGACCTGACACACAATGTGTGTCATTTGGCGAATGCTGGATACAGATTACAGCTCCAACTTCTGCCGTGCTGTGCATGGTGGGTTGTCCGAATCAACAAATTCTAGCCACACTTGAGTATAGGAAAAGTATGCATGACAAGACCAAGACGTGGGTTGTAGACCATACTTCTACGATTGCAGTTGTGGTGGAACCGGAATAGAGATAAGCTGCTCTGTGTCTGTCCATTCTCCTTTCCATCTGCCATTTCCGACCAATATGATTAAGCTTGCGTTCCTCATACGAGGAACTGCACTGCTCCTTTGCCTATTGATCTTCCAAGCAGCATCCACTTCCCATGGCCAAGCGAGTGGGTCCGGAGCCTGCACCAGCAGCGAGCGAGATGCGCTTCTGTCCTTCAAGGCAAGCCTCCTGGACCCTGCTGGCCGTCTCTCATCATGGCAGGGTGAGGATTGTTGCCAATGGAAGGGAGTCCATTGCAGCAACAGAACGGGCCATCTCATCAAGCTCAACCTGCGCAACATCGACATGGAAGACTACATGGGCTACTACATGTACGACTACAGCGACTACAGCTACCCAAACAGGAGCAGATCATTGAGCTTGTCGGGGGGCGAGATGAGCTCTTCTTTGGCTACTTTACAACACCTGAGGTATCTTGACCTGAGCTGGAATGACTTCAATGGCACAAGCATCCCTGTCTTCTTGTCTTCTCTCAAGAACCTAAGGTATCTCAACCTCTCCTCGGCAGGATTCGGTGGGAGAATACCTTCCCAACTTGGCAATCTCTCAAAGTTGCAATATCTTGATCTCAGTTGGAATTATGATTATTATGGGAATAGGACTTACATAGTGGATCTTGCATGGTTGCCACGTCTCTCTTTGTTGAGCCATCTTGACATGAGCTATGTGGATCTTGGTTCTGCGAGGGATTGGTTTCAGGCAGTTAACATGCTTCCTTCTCTTACAGCGCTTGGCTTGCTTGATTGTGGACTCAACAGTACCATGTCTGCTAGTATATCACTTTCCAACCTCACACATCTCGAAATCCTTGATATGTCTGGTAACACCTTCCATGCTTCACTCAAGCATGCGTGGTTTTGGAATCTCACATGCCTTAAAGAGCTTCACCTCTCAGATTCTGGCTTGGAAGGGTCCATTCCTAGTGATTTGGCAAAGATGACGTCCCTTCAAGTCATAGACTTTAGTGAGAATGATCTCGTGGGTTTGATACCAAACAAATTAGAAAATTTGTGCAATTTGACAAGGATGAGGTTCGGTGGTAACAACATAGGTTCAAGCATTGGGGAGTTCATGGGGCGATTGCCAAAGTGCTCATCGAATACACTTCAAGAATTTTCAGTGCAGGATGCAAATATGACCGGGAATCTTAGTGTTCTTCAAGCATCTAGAAACATGTTGACCGGTCCTCTACCTGTAGGAGTTGGAGCACTGAGTAATTTGTAATGGCTGGACCTCAGCTACAATAACTTCAACAGTGTTATCTTGAAAGAACAATTTGCAAGCTCAGAAAAATTAGAGGTGTTGGACCTCAGCCACAATAACTTCAGCGGTGTGCTCTTGAAAGGACAATTTGCAAGCTTAGGCAAATTAGAGATTTTGGACTTCAGCTACAATAACTTCAGCAGTGTGCTCTTAAAAGAACAATTTGCAAGTTTAGGCAACTTAAAGTATTTGGACCTCAGCTACAACAAATTCAGTGGCGTGCTCTTCAAGGAACATTTTGCAAGTTTAGGTAATTTGGTGCATTTGGACCTCAGCTATAATAACTTCAGTGATTTTCTCTTGAAAGGACATTTTGCAAGTTTAGGTAATTTAAAGATTTTGGACCTCAGCCATAATAAATTAGATAGAGTGCTCGTGGAGGAGCATTTTGCAGGCCTATTGAATTTAGAGTATCTGGACTTCTCGTACAACTCTGTGATAGCTATCAACCAAAAATGGGTTCCTCCATTTAGATTGAAGGTTGCGAAGTTTCAATCATGCCAACTAGGACCCATTTTTCCGGAGTGGCTTAAATGGCAAACTGATATTGATGTTCTTGTTCTTAGTGATGCAAATCTGGACGATGTTATTCCTGATTGGTTTTGGATGACATTTTCCCAAGCTTCAACCTTGCAAGCATCAGGAAACAAATTGTGTGGCTCATTACCGACAAATCTACAACACATGTCAGCTGAGTATATACATCTGGGGTCGAATAAGTTGACAGGTCAAGTTCCACAGTTGCCTATACATATAAGCCAACTGGACCTATCTTCAAACTCTTTATCTGGGCCATTGCCATCAGAGCTAAATGCTCCTGCACTCGAAGATTTGATGCTTGCAAATAATCAATTCACAGGCACCATCCCTTCATCTATATGCCAATTGACTAGTCTGTTAAGGTTGGACCTATCAGGAAACCATTTAGAAGGAGATATTATGCAGTGTTGGAAGGAATCTGATGCAAACTCTACAAATCTGTTTGGTTGGAACATGTTCAGCTTAGCCCTAAATAACAACAATCTGACCGGTCAATTCCCTAAATTTCTTGCAAGGTCATCACAATTGATGTTCCTTGACCTTTCTTACAATAGGTTATTTGGAGGATTGCCAGAGTGGTTGCCAGAAAAAATCCCACAGTTGAGAATATTAAGAGTAAGATCAAATATGTTCAGTGGTCATATTCCTAAGAGTCTCACTTCCCTTCACCGTCTTCATTATTTGGACATAGCACATAACAACATATCAGGAAGCATACCGTGGTCTTTGTCAAACTTGAAGGCAATGAAGGCAGTGGTGTCACAGGACACGAACTATAACTTCTACGAAGATAGCATCCAAATAATCATGAAGGATCAAAAGCGTGACTACACCTTTGCGATCTACAAGCTACTGGTAATTCTTGATTTGTCAAGTAATAGGTTGGCGGGACAGATTCCAGAGGAGATAACTTTACTCATTGGGCTTACCAATCTGAACTTGTCAAATAATCAACTCACAGGAGCAATCCCAAACCAAATTGGTGATTTAAGGCAGTTGGACTCACTCGACCTGTCCTTCAATGGGTTTTCTGGTGCAATACCATCAAGTTTGTCAGCTTTAAGTTATTTGAGCCACTTGAACTTGTCATACAACAATCTTTCCGGTGTGATACCATCAGGACAACAACTACAAGCTCTTGACAACCAGAGGTATATCTACATTGGCAACCCTGGTCTTTGTGGAGATCCTGTTGGCAGGAACTGCTCAACACATGATGCAGAGCAAAGTGGCCTCGAAGATATAGATCATATGCCATCTGTTTATCTTGCCATGAGCATTGGATTTGTGGTGGGTCTGTGGACAGTTTTCTGCACCATGTTGATGAAGAGAACCTGGAGGGAAGCCTTCTTCCAGTTTGTTGATATGATGTACGACATGGTTTATGTGCAAGTGGCTGTAAGGTGGGCTCACATGATGGAGAAAACTCAAGACGGTGCACCATGAAGCGTCCAACTCTGCAGCAAGTGAATTTTTTGTATCTGTATGTTTGACCATATCCCTATTTGTAGCTCTAAGTTAGCCTTCGCTGGACGTTTGTACTGTACCGTATTGTTATTTGTATGTTTGCACCTTATCTCTATTTTAGCTCTAAACGAGCCTTTGCTGGACGTCTGTACAGCCGTACTGTATTTTATTGGTAGTTGTATGTCTGTACTTTAACAAATGAGGTGTATGTATATGTTTTGCTAGATTGTTTATGCTGAATAAAAATATATACAGCCCTATAACTGCAGTGTGCCTTTTCCATGCTGTTCGGTTTGCTTTGTATCATCTTTTCCCAGAGAGCGATAATTCATTTGCATAGCAAAGAAAAAGGCACCTGTTGGTTAATAAGACAACATATTTGTTTGTAAGACATCTCTGAAGGAAGAGGAAGAATGCTCACTTCACCATCAGTGCTTGTAGACTTATTCATGTAAATCTGAAGCTTCCATTTGAGCTGATGTTTTTTTTACTCTGGTGTTTGCCAGCGAAGTGAGAAGCTGGAGCACGTTGAGTGCGACCACGCCCGCAGCTCTGGTGGTTACAGGATGCCCAAAAGGTGAAAGTGAAAGTAAGAAGAAAATAAGTGTATGTTTTATGTCTACAGACTGTTTCATTTGAGAAAAATCGGATTTTTTTGCGGCCAGGAACTGAAGCCTGCAGAATAACAAGTGTATGTAGTATAAAATTCACTCTTGTGCATGAAACAAATTGTGAGCAGTCACAAACCGCATCGTATCCCATAGTCAACATTAACGTCTGTAATCTTCAGCTATTAAACTTGTTTCCAGGGGGAAATGTTCAGCTGTTAATACCAAAACCACCATCTAAACTTTGCTTCCAGGGGAAAATCGGATCTAGCCCAATGAACCAGGGTGGGCCAACAATAGAATTGTTAATAAAAAATATTTTTTTCTTAATATTTTTTACCATTTTTCCTATGCTATAAAACTATACAAAAATCCCCAGGGTGGGCCATGGCCCACCCTGTCCACCCTCTACCTCCGCCACTGATCAAGAACCAAAGCTCGGTTCTGGCAACGCTTCCTTTATTACACACACGGCTCCAACTCTTCGTTCATCCTCTTCAGCACAGAGGTTGATTTGTGTTGGGTACTGTGTGGAGTCACTTCTTTCCCCCTTCAACTTGTGCTAGTTTCCAAATCTCCTGTTTCCATCTATAACCAATTACCTTGCTCTTCCTTCTCCAGTTTATTGATATGATATACGACATGGTTTATCCGTTTATGTGCAAGTGGTTGTAAGGTGGGCACGTGATGGACAAAGCTCAAGACGGTGCACCATGAAGCGCCCAACTCCAACCCAGGCGAATTGTTTATATCTAAATATTATTTGTATATGTTTGCACCATATATCTATATCCCGTGGATTCACACTTTGAGGTGCGGCAGCAGAGCATTTTTGCCACGCCTCCATCGCCACCCCCAAGGCCTCCTACGGCTCGTCGGAAAACGTTGGCTGGAGTGCAAATATCCAGGAAGGGTGGTCTCTCGCTGCAGAGGATCAAGCGGCCTGGTGCATGTGCTGTTGCTGTGCCGGCGGCCAAAGGTGCAGAAAAAATGGTTTGCCGCACTCTAGGTATCACCAGAGATGGTAAAGATGTGACTGAGGCAACTCTGGATGAGTTTACTTCCAAGTTCAAGGACCAACTAGCTCCTGAAGTGATCATGGCCATGAGGGAATTTTTCCTTCTTGATGACCCAGCTGTCAACGGAGTAGAGGACGCCCTTGATCATGGTGGTGAGGGAGCACTGGAGCTCGCTCAGCCTGGGGGTGCAGCTCTTCAGGATGATTGATGTCCATAGTCTGCATGTTAGGGTGCAAAATGGTGGTTATGTTAGCCCAGCTTCTTACTGTGCTGGGTAGTGTTCGGGCTACTTGTAGTGTTGTTTCCAATTCTGTGGGTGTGTGTTGTTTTGAGGGCGTGTGTTGTATTTGGAGGGTGTGGCCCCTTAAGTTGCTATCTTGTTTGCTTCAGACTTCAAAGTGCCCTTTTGTCTCTGCATTTGTTCTTCAAGTCCTGGTGGCTATCGACTGCTATGCCTGGACAACCACAAGTGTTTTTTTGGGTGACCTATGACGACACAACCCATCAACACATTAAGCTAGAATGTACGTGGACTGAACTGCACGGCTTGAAAGGCAACGGTTAGTGCAACGATTGCCGCATCCTCTTGCCAACTGGTCTGTCTTCAAGAGACAAAGGTTGACAGCGTTGACAAATTCGTCACTGCCTACCTGGGGGGCAATAGACTTCAAAGTTTTGCGCAACGCCCGGCATTGGGAACTAGGGGAGGGATCCTACTCCTATGGGATGATAACGTTCTCGACGTCTCCGACATCACCACATCGACTTATTGCCTCTCTGGTATGGTCAATATCCGCGTAACCGGCGTCTTCTTTAGGCTCACGTCCGTATATGGGCCAACTGATCACGCCTGCAAAGATTCTTTCTTTGCCGAGCTAATCTCCCACAAGCCACCCAATGGGATTGCCTGGCTGGCCCTTGGGGATTTTAACCAAATTTACCGCACTAGGGACAAAGCAAGAGAAATTTTGCATACGTTCGAGGCTCAAGTGGATAGTGATCAGTTTGGCGGTTCTTGAGAGAACTCGAAAGAGTCAATGTGCTCGGTTGGCAAACTTGAGGCACGGTGATGCAAACACAAAATTCCTCCACCGTCGCATCAATGCCAGAAGAAGGAAGAATCACATTCACCGGATTAAGCACGCACATGGGTGGGTGACTGAGCATAAGGAAAAAGAGAGAATCATCCATGGCCACTTTTGCAAGGCCATGGGTAGGGGAAATAGTACCAACAAAGACTTCAACTGTGAGGAGCTTGGGATTGAGACCCATGACTTGCACGGCCTGGGTAACACCATCACAGAAGATGAGATTTGGGTGGACATAAAGGAGATGCCTAGTGATAAGGCGCCCGGTCCGGATGGTTTCACTGGGATTTTCTTCAAGAACTGTTGGGGCATAATCAAGCATACGATCATGAGGGTCATCCAGCGCTTTGACTCCCTCTACACATCAAATCTGCAATGGGTGAATTCCGCCAATGTTGTTCTATTGCCCAAAAAGGAGGGCGCAGAAGGCATCTCTGATTATAGACCTATCAGTCTCATCCATGCTCTCGCCAAAATTATCGCAAAGGTCTTGTCGATTTGACTTGCTCCTCTCATGGACAACCTTGTCTCCAACGCACAGAGTGCTTTCATTAAGAGGGGTAGTATCCATGACAACTTCATGTGCGTCCGGAACTTTGCTAGGATACTACATAAGTGCAAGACCCCTGCTTTGCTCTTCAAGATGGACATAAGAAAGGCCTTTGACTCTGTTAAGTGGGAATATGTTCTGGATCTCCTCCAGCGCATGGGGTTCCCGGACAAGTTCAGGGCTTGGATTGCCGCGCTGCTCTCCTCATCTTTTTCTCGCATTCTCTTAAATGGGATCTCTGGCCCCCCATTAAAGATGGTGCCAGGTTCAGGCAGGGGGACCCCATTTCCCCTTTGCTTTTTGTCATTGCGATTGATCCGCTGCACAAGATTCTGGATTTGGCAACCCGGAAAGGCCTCCTTCACAAGATTCGTGGGCGAGGCCCCATGGTGAGAACCTCCCCTATATGCGGATGATGCCGCCGTTTTTGTGGTCCCCATCAAAACGTACATCGACAACCTTGTGTCCATTCTAAGGGGCTTTGGGGACGTCACTAGCCTATGCACCAATTTTCAGAAAAGCTCCATCGTGCCAATCCGATGCAATCATCTGTACCTTGGGCACATTCTTCAGAGCATGCCGGCAACTCGTGCTACCTTCCCGGTGAAATATCTAGGCTTGCCACTCTCCATCTGGCAACTCAAGAAGGTGGATTTCCAATACCTTGAGGACAAGGCGTCTGGCAAGTTGGTCACGTGGGACGGCCGAAACATCACCACTATTGGTCGCACGGCTCTCGTCAAGTCAGTCATCTCCTCCCAAGCCATTTACTCTATCACGCCTCTCATTGTTCCGCCAAGCACGCTCAACAACCTCAATAAGTTGGAAAGGGCATTCCTGTGGTCCAGAGCGGACAAGACAATGAGAGCCAAATGCAAAGTGAACTGGAAAATGGTCTGTAGGCCAAAGGAGTATGGGGGTCTAGGGGTACTCAACACCGACAAGTTTGCGCGTGCTTTACGCCTTCGATGGTTGTGGTACGAATGGAAGGCTACCCACAAGCCTTGGGTGGGTTTTGGCAACCCTTGCACTGACGATGACCGCGAGTTTTTCTATGCCGCTACAATTATCACTGTTGGTGACGGCACAAGGACGCTGTTCTGGGACTCTCCTTGGCTGCTTGGCCGGAAGCCCAAGGATATTGCACCCTTAATCTTTGAGGCCTCAAGGAGAAAAAATTGGAAGGTGCGGGAGGCTCTCAAAGGAAATGCTTGGATTCTCAAAATCAATCCCAACACTGTCATCACCACTGATCACATTCAAGAATTCTTCACTCTCTGGATGCTTGTCCATGATTTCCACCTTGATGAGCAAGCCGAAGATGATATCATTTGGAAGCATGTGAATGATGGGATCTACTCGACGGCCACCGTGTATAAGGCTCAATTCCTTGGGTTGATTCTCTCACCCATGGATCACATGGTTTGGAAGGCTTGCCCCCCCAAGGTTAAATTCTTCGCTTGGCTAGCGATACAAGACCGTATTTGGACAGACGATCGGTTGGGGAGACGTGGTTGGGCAAACTGTGGACTTTGCCAACTATGCAAGAGAGAACAAGAAACAGGGCCACACCTCTTCTTCAAGTGTCGGTACACGCTTAGGCTTTGGAGAGCTATCATCGAGAAGCTTGGGCTACACCACGTCAACACCTCCGACTGGCATCTTGATGATTCCGTCAACGCGTGGTGGGACAAGCGGACTGATAACCGAAACC